ATCGGCCCATGATTCCATATGAGACTTGCTGCAACAATATCTTGTTTCCATATTTGTTGCAACCCTGTATTTGTATGGCCAAGTTGGACATCTCTTTAGATAGCAAGGCTAATGACGTAATAATGATAAGTGTCCGTGCGACAGTCACTAGGAGATAGGCGCAGCCTGTAACAGTTATCAATACATCCTTCACCGAAAGTTTAATGCGCATTAGCGTTTATTTCACACTAGAATTTCAGCGGATTGTGCTTTCGGAATAACACCCTTGACTTCGAACTCAAAGCACGCCTGTAATCTGTATCACAGAATGCCTGTCAAGTCGTAAAGTCTGGGTGTAAGTTGGTTTTCAATTACCTATCCAAAAACTCCTTAATAATACAAATACGCTAATGCAAGTCTGCCTAAGTAAACGACCATGATACGTCAGGGCATCACCTGACCTGGATACACAGGATTTCTTTTTTTTTTTTGCATCAGATTTTAATTGCGTATGCAGCTATCTAGCTATGACACAATATCAAAGAAAAGTACAGAATAGATGATTCATCGTTAAGGAAGAGCACTCATGCCTCAGATTTCATTTGCAAGTACCACTGCGAAGTTATGGTGGCTTTTTCTTCACCCCAAGTCAACCCTCATCCGTGAATACCCACCCAGCGGAACGTCTCAAAAACCCTGGGTTATCCAGACATGCCTCCATCATCTTTCAACTTTTCTCCGCGCGAAATATGATCTGAGATATCTCCTTCCCAAGTGGAGTAGTTGCCCAGGCTACTCAAACTATACCGGAGAACACCACCAGGAGGCGGACCACAACACCTTCCATCGTTTGCTTGTTTTTATAGTGTCAGCTGCACTCTCGCAAGCGAAGTCTTGGCGCGCACAAAGCCCAATTCGAAAAACTCCTTGCCAAAATTCGGAATCTCATGCCCTTCGAGGTTATATCCGTCCTTCGCATCATCTTGTCAACTTGTCCAGATTCCTCTCACATCCATCCCAAAGAACTGTCACCCAGATTTGTGCGCCACGCCTTGCATCCTCCGGCGGGTATAAATATCGGCGTGGGCGTGTATTTGGTGACCAGCTGAGGCTAGAGAAGGTCGAAGAGTGGTGTGGTCATTGGAATGAGGATGTACTTGGTCGTACTTGTAGACTCGATGAGACGAAGATAGGGGTCAAACTCGTTGGGAGCGAAATAATGAAGTGGATGAGTAATTTGGATTTTTGCCTCGTGGGCCAACTTCTTTGATATTGCGAAATTTGACTGAACTTGGCTCTGGGAGAATATTTCACTCCCAGGTTCGTAGAGGACACCGCGTACAGGTGTTCAGTCTTGCCCTCCGGATACACAGGATGACTATGTCTTAAATGCAGGCTATAGTTTTCCTGTATCTATTACCAATACACATATATTTAGCTTTATATTCCTGACCCATATATGTGTATGTACATAGATCTACATCTACATGGATCATAACTTACGATCCATGGAGATTGATAAATACTGGTCAAAAACCACAGTTGATAAGATATGCAAACACGCAATCTCACTCTTATCATCTCGGTTTTACTCTGAACCATACATCTAAATTCAACTGTTTCCACTCGGATCTTCCTCTCACAACCTCATACAAGACTTACTGCATCGGTCTAACCGCCGACACTGATACTGCTACAACCTACATCTTCGCTAAAGCTCATAACTTTAACAATTCCTACATCAGAGTACTCAATCTGAATTCTAAGTAGCCAATGGAGAGTTCCCATATCCTTGACCTTGAATTCAGCCTTGAAGTGGTTTACTAAATCTTCGATGAGCTCCTCTTGTTCTCCAATGAGTACTATGTCGTCCACGTAAACTGCAATTATCATTTTGCCTGTGTTGTGGATGAATATACAGGGATCAAATAGGGATGGAGCAAGACCATAAGGAATGATATATTCAGCCAACCTGAAGAACCATTCCCGACGTGATTGCTTGAGTCCGTATATACACTTTTGAAGTTTTGCAACATGATCTCCTTGCCTGTACCCTTCAGGAAGTTCCATGTAAATGTCCTCATTCAAGACTCCATATAGAAATGCAGTTTTAATGTCGAGCTGTATCGTTTTCCATTTCTTAGATGCCGCATTTGCGAAGATTAATCGTAATGAATCAAGTCGTACAACATGTTGTGATGGTGATGGCTTAGATTACGATGCACAAGGGTAATGATCACTGAGGGTGAAGGAAATACTTTCCAGGTGGCTCCATGATGAGTAGAGGAACAATGGAGTACTGTATAGAAAGTGTTTCTAGATTGTACTGCCAGATGGAGGAGACTAGAATATTCCGTGATACTATTTTGGGTAAATGAGGCGAGAGTCTAGCTACCTCAGATGTGTATATAATTAGCGCTTTCTACCTCCTAAATCCTCATAGTTCTGAATATCAAATATATCAGCAGTTCATTTTGATTCATCGATAATCACCCGTAAACCTTCTGCCAATTAACCTCCGTAAGCTCCTACCTTTACAACAAGTTGGAAGGAGGGTAGAAAGGCAGAGTATGAATTTCCCGAGGTACCCACAAGTCTATAGCACCCAGCTGGCCGGCCTCTTCGAACGCTTCGGAACGGTCACTATGTCTTCGGATTTAGTCCAAATGTCGGTATTAGGAGGGCTCCGCACCCAGTGGTTTTTGCGATTTTTTCCGGTTGCCATACACCCGCAAATGTCTATGGACTTGTTAGCTGGATATGGGGGATAATGAAGGGCAAAGGGCTTCTCTAAGTATATGATCGAATGAGTACTTGTTAGGGATAATAATGTTCGAGTGGAGCTGTATGAGAGGCATAAGAGGGGACATACTACCGGTATAGGTATCCTTGGCCTGTAGGTAAAGAGCATCTGCATGTCCCACATAGTCATAGATTTAGACAGGACAATAAATTGAAAAAAAAGGTATTGTAGCTCAGACATCTTAAAATAATAATCCAGAAATTATGGGAATTAATTCCAGAAGGTAAGGTAACTGTCCTGGACGAAGTACAGAAGGTGGATTTATTTATTGTGCAGATGGTTAGTGGAGATTTTAAGGTCGGAGCGCTAATATCTCCAAACACGTCTCTGATTGATGAGGGTATAAAGTTTTACGTTTTAGAAGAATCTCTTTAAAATTTAAATTAGAAGGGGGTTAGAGGAGCCAAGAGCATTTTCATCATGGAGGATATTGTGGCGGCGAACGGAATTGGCGGAAGTGCTCGCGAATTTATGGTACAAAGTAACCTCCCTTAGGGAATGACCCTCGGGATCAACTGGTATATAATTGTAATATTCAAATTAAAAATGAGCCTGTAAATTATAGAGCTATTTAGATAGATCTCTAAGTAGTCTTTCATGGTCTAGGAGTCAGTAGAGACTCAAATTTAAATCGAAGTAACATCCTCGGAAGAGGGACTATTCTCAATACCTGTCAGTGGTGTCTCCTACGAACCTTCAGCTCTCACTGTAGAGCCTGCAGAGCCGAGATTGAGTAACAAAGTCCTCACTTCGACCAGGGTTCCCAATCGCTTCCGCGGTCTGTATCGTCTTCATCTCTCAACACATTCCCCTATCACCACTATCTTGAAGCTAACCACGATCGGATCAAATGATAGGGTTGGAGCCCTACTCATCACCAACCCTTGATCATGGAGGAAAAGCCATCCGATGAGTTTCCGGAGCGTATCCAGCACCCGATACGGAGATGGCGGATTGGATCAAGTCGACCTCGACTGTTACAAAGAAGGGAGATATAGATGAATATGCGCACCTCATGTGGTCCCGGTGTCTAGGCCTCGCCTGGCTGGGGCTTCAGGTTTTTTGAGGCTTTTTTCCGCGCACGCAGTTTCCATTGCTAGCATTTTATTTGGGCCGAAGGTTCCGTGGAAAAGGCGGCCGAATTCCACGGGTGAACACTGAGCTGAATGGCTATTTATCACGGGCAACATATCAATGATGTTACAAGTGGCATGAGAGGCAAGGAGCACTGTACAAGGTGTGGCCTGGGTCATAGAGGAGCCCAATGTGCTAGATAGTCTATGACTCAGGTAGTATAATTAAAACACACATACACATACCTTCTTCTCGGAAACTTCATTAGGAACGAAAGGGAATACAAACTGAGGAGGCCTTGGTGGGCGACTAGATGAGGCCTCCACTGAAGAAAACGACCCCTGGATGAGATGAGTAGATGCTGAGATGAGCCAAAGCTGGGAATGAATGGAAGGGAAAAGTTACTGATGGCGAAGGTGTCAATGGCTCAAGCGCGTGGTGGCCGAGGCTGGGGAGGGATTTGCGCTTCGGCGCGTCAAAAGGAGGTTCTCTGGACGGTTGGGCTTGACATGATTCAACACATGGGTGAATTCTGAGGTGGTCCGGCCATTCAGGTGGGACGAGGTAGATGTACTTAATGGTAGTTAACCTGATCCAGCCCGGCCCCACCCGTGCTTAAGCTTCAGTAGGAGTGCAACGGTAGTTACTTTACCCAGCACGTAAATGAACAAAACAAACCAAACCACCTCGGAAATAAACCGGATCATCTAACAATGTGCAATACCCGGCATGATCGGTTAAGGGCTGTCTCCCTGCAAAATGTGGTCTTCAGTCCTCATCTGTATCTAGAATTAAGATGGAATAGCCAACAAGAAACTTTAATAAAGTGCGTTGGAAAATTAAATTAGTGTCCATCCATTGAACAATTTTCTGATGAGCTGCCCACATCATCCTTTTACATCGTGAATAATGACTCACAGCATTATCTCTGCCAACACAAAATAATTTCCAACCGATTATTTCGAGTCAAGTGTCCTCATCAAACTTGTGCATAGAATGGAGTAGTGACTAGCTGCTCTTATGATCATACTTATCAAAATCATGTCTTGATTTATTTACCTACTTCACCAAATCTAAAGTATATACCGTCTCTTTTCCTGAAATTCACGATTCTAGAGTTTGGCCTTGAGAATCTCGATATCCTATGATGATAGCATTGACAGTTTTATCTTTTTTAACTCTTCTTCCCTTACATTTCGCGAAGCCAGCACCGCGGAAAAGCTTTACAGAAATGTTCAAATGCAAACTCAATTTTATTTCAATGGATCAAGCGCAAAAGGCTGTTCAGCTTGGCTGTAGTCAAATGCAGGTCGCACTACCTACCAGCCTATTTCCTGCATCTTTCATTGAATCGGAATTATTTGATCTAACAAATATTGTGTTGTTTACGTGGCCTGTTTTTCCATTTGACAATGTTTTAAGAGGTATGTGTTTGTACGAATAATACCACTTTATACATGAAGACTTTTTTTTACAAATTTCTGATTTGAATCTTAGAGGATCATGGTCGGAATCGCGTTGTCTTTGATTCCAGTTGCCGACTCGTCGGTCTCATCCATATCAAGCCTACTGGCCCAGAGCGTTGTCTGCATCTGATGGAGGTCGAAGATCTAAATATAGCTCATGATTTTGAAGTTTATAATACACGGTGGACTAGTCTCCAACTATACGGATACAAGTATGACAACGAATTTTATTCGAAGAACTCTGTAGAAGAATTCGTTAACTCAAATTTTAAGTCTTTTCGCGGAATTAAAAAAAAGAAAGAAATTTTAGATCTGTACCCGAGCGAGTCAACAAATTTAGATTCTAGATATTTGGCTTGTACAATTCTGCCCGAGCCAGGAGTAATTAAGCTAAGTAAGCTTTAGCTTCATTATTGCGAAGATATTTCTAACAAAGCTCAAGCAAGAATGAAGAAAATTCGCCGTGTGGTTATTAGTTCTAACAAAAGAATAATCGGTATATGCCGCAAAAAGGAAATAATCTGGAAACCACTCGCCGAACTACGTTACCTTGATGACTTATACAGGGCGAATGTTGTCTTAAAAAGAAAACCTGAAGTAGGGTTTGCAAAATTACAAAGTATGAATTACAATGGAATTCACCTGTCGGTTTTCATGTTAAGAAGTCATCTAATTATGGCTTGCAATGCATTAACGAAAAAAAAGATGGGCATAGATTTGGACCTTCGATATCCACTAAGGACTAATATTGAGGCTATACCAGACCGGCCGATGTTGACGTGGCCCTTGCGAATACCAGAGAATTCTTTTCACGGTATGTAAATTTCCAATTTTGCAGGCTTCAATTGCTGAACATTAAGACGAACGAGATATCAGGCTTGTTATAGACGAGAGATGCAATCTCATGGGCGTGACTTCACAAAATCCGAAATCTAGTTTTCCTTAGGAAGTAGACTTTAATATCAAGAAGACTCAAAGTGGTAGTGCGGGTGAGATGAGGGGTAATTAACGACCTGAAAAGTCGGATAGCTCATTCTATGAAGAGTTTCGTGAAAGTTTTAAAATAGAATATCGAAAAGTATTATGGTGTGCCAAAATATTTGTAAGGAGCTGGCTTAGTAAATTAGCCGGACCATGTACACAGAGATTATAGAGTCCACTCATCCGACTAAATAGAAACCAAGTCTGCACACATTAGTTCATTGCTCCCAACTCACACGATGGCTCTCCTCTCACGTCGCTAGTCGCACATATTCGTCCAATTAGATATCTCCCGCACGCTAATAATCATAACAAAAAGTCTTACAATTTTACGTCAAAGCGCGGCGAGATAGCCACATTCGGAATTAGGAACGAGCAGGTTGTGGATCCCAATTGATGGAAACTCGACCGTGCACATTGTGCGCTGTTGATTGGCTCACGTGGTGCGATGGAATATTTAAGTAAATTGGCGATCCTGTATTATAGAAGTAAATTCACGTATTATTAGACTCAAGCTCTACTCACAGTACATTGTTGATTTGTCGGAGCCACGAGACACCTGCGTGAAATCATTGTGATCATAAACTGATCAACCAGAAGCCACAAGTTGGTGCAGGAGTATAGTTTAGATAGACTAGGATAAGATTGTCGTATCAACTAATAATACAGATTATAAACTGCGAGAAGAAGATAAGTTTAAATTTGAATCTAGTTTAATTTTGATTTGAAACCTTTAACGCGACAGTAAGTATCGTCTTCATCTCTCAGAACAGCCCCTAGCACAATTATCGCGAGTCTAACCAGAATCAGATCAGCTGGTAGGGCCGAAGCGCCTTCATCACCCACCTCGGTCATGGAGGAAAAGCCATTCAAAATCTTTACGAAGCATACCCAGCACCTGATACGGAGATGGTGGATTGAATCAAGTCGACCTCGACTGTTACAAAGAAGAGAGATATAGATGAATATGCGCACCTGATGTGTTCCCGGTGTCTAGGCCTCGCCTGGCTGGGGCTGCAGGTTTTTTGAGACTTTTTCCCGCGCACGCAGTTTCCATTGCTACCATTTTTTTTTTTTTTTAGTTTTTTTTAGTAGAAGGTTCCGTGGAAAAGGTGGCAGAATTCAACGGGTAAACACTGAGCTGAATGGCTATTCATCAAGGGGAATATATCAATGATCTTTCAAGTAACAAAAGAGGATAGGAGCACTGTACAAGGTGTGGCCTGGGTCAGAGAGGAGCCCAATGAGCTAGATAGTCTATTACTCAAGTAGTGCAATAAAACACACACACACACACAAACACAGGGGAGGACAAGACTGAACACCTGTCAGTGGTGCTCTCTACGAACCTGGGAGTGAAATATTCTCCCAGAGCCAAGTTCAGTCAAACTTCGCAACATCAAAGAAGTTGGCCCACGAGGCAAAATTTCAAATTACTCCACCATGTCAATCTTTCACTCCCAAAGAGTCCGATTCTCAACTAAGCTTCATCAAGTCTACAAGTACGACCTAGTACATCCTCGTTTCAATGACCACACCTCTCGTCGACTTTCTCCGGCCTCAGCCGGTCACCAAATACACGCCCACGCCGATATTTACACCCGACGGAGGAAGCAAAGCGTGGCGCACAAATATGGGAGATAGTTCTTTTGGACGGACGTGAGAGGGATCAGGACAAGTTTACAAGATGATGCAGAAGAGGGATACATTCTCGACGGGCGTGAAATTTCGAATTTTGGAGAGTTTTACGAATTGAGCTTTGTGCGCGCCAAGGCTTCGCTTGCGAGAGTGCAGCTGACACTATAAACACAAGCCAACGATGGAAGGTGTTGTGGTCCACCTCCTGGCGGTGTTCTCTGGTATAGTTTGAGTAGCCTGGGCACCTACTCCACTTGGGAAGGAGACATCTCAGATTACATTTCGCGCGGAGAAAATTTGATGGATGACAGAGGCATGTCTGGATAACTCAGGGTTTTTGAGACGTTCCCCTGAGTGGGTATTCACGGATGAGGGTTGACTTGGGGTGAAGAAAAAGCCACCATAACTTCGCAGTGGTGCTTGCAAATGAAATCCGAGGCATGAGTGCTCCTATTATAAACTGAGTCATCTTTTCTGTAATTTTCTCTGATATTGTGTCATAGCTAGATAGCTGCATACGCAATTAAAATCTGATGCAAAAAAAAAAAAGCACACAAACACAAAAAAACACAAAAAAACACAAACAAACACACAATTTTTTGAAATTCGAATTTTCGAATATTCACCTTTTCCCCTTCTCCCTCCCTCTCGCGCTCGTCGCATTCCTTCAATAAATTGTAGTCGAGTTACTAGCATTTTCATCATGCCAACTGTTCGAAAAAAGCTCCCCAACTCAATGTTGGACAACGCGAGAGTCCGCCCGAGGGCTCCTGCAAAAGTATCTGGCCTCGCGCAAAAATTATCAAGCCTATTTGGAAGTGAGGCCTTTATCCCTGGGAAGTCTTCCATACTTCCCGATCAAGAGATGACTGATTCTGACCCGATCAGAACAGAAACAAATGGTCAACAGACCGGGAAACCCGCCGAGCTGGCCCCCGAGGCAAGCAGTTCAAGGAAAGGAAAGGAAGTCGTCCGAGAGAAGACGACAGAACAAGCAGAAACATCTGCAAGAAAATTCACTGAGCCAACTCCAAAAGGTACAGCTTCAACATCAGCACCGGAATATCCTCCGGAACTGCAATCAGTGATGGAGGCCGAGAAGCGTCGCACGACACAAATCAAGTCACGTTTATCAATCTGTTCCACTGCAATAAGCAGTGTTGAAGCAGCACTTTCGCCTCTCTCGATTGGCGACGAAAAAGAGTTTGTAGACGGCATCAAAGTCTACCTTCGAGCGGCCATTGGCCAGTTCATACAATCAGGCCCAGGGAGCACTCCACCAGCTCTCCCTGCGCGCCCCATCAACCTTCCTCCGCCGAGGGCTCATGAAATTAGGGTACCTAACCCTTCGATAACCCAGGCTCCGGCATCAAAGACGACTTGGGCCACAGTAGCCCGTGCAGGTCTAGGCCGCAGCGCCGGGCCGTTGACTACAAAGGCAGCACCGCCCGCCCCTAAAGCAAAAAGTGCCAATCCGAGGACAAAAGTCGACACGAGACTTTTTCTACGCCTCAAAGTTAACCACCCCCACCGACTCCTGTCACCAGCTGGCGTAAGATTAGCTGTGTCACAGGTGCTTGGTACCGCTGCCGACGACATCACGTTGGTTCAGCGGGTCAAAACAGGCTTTGCACTGACAGCAAAGAATGAACTTGCTTGGAAAGAGCTCCTTGATTCCTCCATGTCACGGAGCGAATCTGGAATCAAACTGAAACCAGCGTCAAATCTGGTTGCCTTGCAAATTGCCACCGTAACGGTGACAATAAACACACTTGCAGGTCCCATCGAGATCACGGCAAAGATGGTTGCTAACGAAGTCACGCGAGTGACGAAATCGGTTCCGTTTCTTGTCCGTCCGCACGGGTACTGCAAGCCTGGGGCGCCATACGAGAACTGGCAAGCCCTCTTTCCTCGCGAGTCCACGCCCCGACCTGGATTCCGCCTCTTCGACGATTCTGGAGCTGCGAAGCTCTTCCGACCTCGACAACAACTCGAACAGTGCAAACGTTGTCTTGGCTATCACGCCTGTCACAGTCTAAGCATAGGCACTTGAGCAACCTTATGGTCAGAGGTAGTTTATTTTCAATCTATGGTGAACTATAGATTGAAGAGGATAATAACAGTTACTTTATACATGATTATTAGCCAGGCCAATGACACAGTTTTCTATCCGTATATCGCATCCCATCTCGTATCCCATCTCGTATCCCATCTCGTATCCCTTCTCGTGCCCTATTCTTAGAGGTGTTTGCCAAGTTATAAGACCCTGCTTCCAAGAATAGTCCCTGCCTAGTTTCATGCTAAGCCTGCGTTTGACAGCGCAGGCTACAGGCAATTACCGGCTTACAAGCCGTCACAAGCTCCCCTCCAAAATTTTTTAGGAAATAGATTGGGAGGTTCTTGTAATTTTTTATTATTTATCTTTTAAAAATTGTTTTTGTTTGTTTTTGCCATGGCGTTTTTGACGCCGTTTATCCAATATATGACCCTCTGCAGGGCCTACGAATCCTCCAGAGCTATCGTTTTCAGGACCATTATTTATCTCTATATTACCGTAAGTAGCCTCGAACCTGTCGAGTGCTTGCGTTTCCCTAATGCTTTCAATCGGCTCCCAAGTTGGCTCGGCCCAGCCTGTCCACTTTACCAAAGCCTGACGAAATTTTCCTCTACCGCGACGGATAGATCGCGCTCGTAGGATAGATTCCACTTCATATTCTGGACCTTCGAGGTCATCGATCAATGGTGGATTTTGGGCGTCGTCTCTAACCTGGCTGGGCAGTGGATCATTACCTGCGCGCTTGACTAATTCGACATGGAAGCGCTTGTGTATCTTTCCAGGGACGTTCAATTCGACCGTCAGTGGGTCAGGTACTGCTGTGACTTCATATTTGGCATGAACCCAGGCCAACTTTTTTGATAGTTGAGGTGTTTTAATGTTCCGCAGGTCTAGCCACACTTTATCGCCCACCTTGAGCTGTTCTGGCTGACGTCGATGTTGATTCGCGTTTTCCTCGTTCCGTTGTTGCGCTGATGCCATTGCGGCTTGAGCAAAGTCCTGGGCATCCCGTAGTCTCTGCACGTATTCACCTGCCGCTCGGCGTCCAGGGTGTTTTGACAGTTCTTCCGTCGATGGGGTTGGTTCAGATATTGGGTCCAGATTGTAACCATGTCGTAAAAAGAATGGACTCATCCCTCCAATTGCTGAGTTTGGCCTCGAGTTTAACGCCAATTGTGCCAGTGGGAGGAGATCCACCCAATTATTCTGAGCGTAACACGTAAACACTCGAAGGTACTTGTACATCTCTTGATTCGCTCGCTCGCTTGCAT